CTCGGGTGAGTGTGTACTGCTCTGAGTGGGTGTGCACCTGTGTACTTGTGTCAGTGTGCGATGCTCTGTGAGGGGCGTGCACGTGTGTGAGTACTCGTGCAAGCATGCAATACTCTGTGAATGGGTGTGCATGCAAGTGTGTATGATGTGAGCATGTGACGGTCTCTGAGGGGGTGCGCGTGCATACGAGTGTGAGGCTGCATGAGTGGCCTGGGTCCCAGCATCCTCTAGGAAAGCCAGATTCGTCGTCACCATGACAACAGTGCCAGCCCTTCCAAGCAGCAGGACAGGGTGACCTAGGTGGGGCTGAGGCTCCCGAATCCACAGAATCCATCATTGAGAGGCAAAGAGGCCTCTGTGTCTGGGGGAGGGGGCTGTCGGGAGGACTCTATGGGGAGGACCCAGCCTGTGATCACATCTCTAAAGAGAGACAGGGCCACAGAGGCCCCCGCCCTGGTGAGAAGTGGCCACAGCAAGTCCATATGGTGTATGAAGTCCCCCATCCTCATACCTGCCTGAGCCCTGGTATCCTGAGGGATGGCAGGATAGCAAGGACCCTCTCAGGGCGTCTGTGGAGGCAAGCTGAGGGTCCCATGCCTGCTGGGGAGGATAGCCTGGGGGGGAGGGTCCTGGCCGAGCTGCTGACCAAGGCCAGACCTGCCTGCTGGGACCCTTTAAAGCTAATTTAAGGCCATACCGGAAGGGCCTTCCAGGAACCAGGGGAAAACAAGGAGGGCTGGGTATCCTGCCGGGGGAAGGGGATGAGCAGGGATGGGACTTGAGCGAGGCAGAAGAGTTCTGAACAGGAGTCTGTCCCATGTGCAAAGAAGCCGATGGGTGTGTGAAGTCTGAAGAGTGGGGACAGGGTGAAGCTAGCTGAATTCGGCCTTAGCCGGCTGATCCGGAACTACAGTTGGTCTCAGCGGGCCCTGGTGTCAGAGGGGTACCCAGTCCCCAACTTGGGAGCAGAGGGAGCCCGTAGAGGCCTGAGGGCCGATGCTCAGTACAATGTGAGTCAAGGTCCTGCGGACCTCCATGGAGCTGACAGTGTACACACGTGAAATGTGCAACAGCATGGGCAGTCCTGGGGAGTCTCAGACCCCAGGACACCCTCCGCACTCGCTTCACCTCCTCGAGGCCTCCCCGTTTGTGGAGGTGGAAGCAGTTAATGGCACGAGTGGGGTTGTAGGTGGCCAGATCCTATGCTGGATGGAGATGTGGGCACTGAGGTTCGAGGGAGGGTTTCAAGCACAGGGCAGCATGGTGGTCAGCTGTAGTAGTAGGGGTACACTCTGGTCCAGAGCCTGTCCTGGGACACTGTCCCAGGAGCGTCAGCGGGTGCAAGGGATGGCCTGGACGCCAGATCTGGGGGAGACACCGGCATGGAGGCTGCCATCAGGTCCCCTGCAGGCGTGTGTGCTGCCTGGCTTTCGGGGCGACTTGGCAGCTCCCAGATCCTCCCCTCGTGCCAGCTGTTAGGTGCTGGGGTGGGCAGGCCCAGCATCTTGGCTGCTGGCCGTCTCCAGGCCCTGGTGCCCTCTGGAATCGGTGATGGAAGTTGCCAAGAGGGCCGCAGCCGGCCGCTCACACCGATGTCCTCAGCTGCTCTCAGGCGGTGACCTTGGGCTGACGTCCGCGTGTGGTGTCGAGACCACACAACCCAGGTGCCGGCTGGCTCGGGACAAGAGGGCGAGTCTCGAACTCGGCGGAGTGGACCCGGACTGGCGCAGAATGTGGCAGCTGTCAAGGTGGGTCTC